TGGACTGAACCATTCTTGCTAAGGAGGGGTTGGCTCACTTTCATTTGACTCGCCCTTATAGTTAGCTCACCATAGGTTTTATACCAGAGTAGGTATATTCTAGAAACAAGTTGTGATTGGTTAATATTAGTTTTAGTTGCCCTTTTCCAGTAACATTACATAACATAGAAAAATCTCAAATTTGGGAGAACAGATGAATTAAGGGGGAAGAGCACCAAATCTAGAATATTAATTTTGAAGTAGCCAATGATTTTTTTAAAGCAGCTATAGTATTTTTTTATAGCTTACATATTCCCCAATTGCTCAGAAAAGATCTGATGATTATCATAATGTAAATAAAGGAAGATATACTCATAAACCTAGTAATTTTAAAATAGGTGATTTAGTAATGTATGAAGAATTTTAATATCCTAATACCCATAAACTTTCTCCTCCTTTTTCAGGCCCTTACAAAAATTTAAAACAATATTTTGAAGTTACTTTTGAAATAGATAAACCTAATTCTCGAACTAAAAAGAAATCAAAAATTGTTCATTCAACCATACTCAAACCTTTTAATACAGCTAGTAAATTTAAATTAACTGTTAGAAATAGTAGAGCTCCTGTCTATGCAAAATTAATTTATTTTTAATATTCCAAAATTCTGCATTAAAATACTTTTTCCCGATTATGACATTTAATATCTGATTTAGACTTTAAATCCTAACTACCTTATGACCACTACCTCACACAAATTATTTTTTCCGATCTTGACCTTCCCAGTCTGGCTCCTTTCCTATCCTGCCAACTTTTTACTTATGTCATAATTTCGAAGTACAGATGCAGTGGCTGAATGGTACGATGAGAGGAAGGAGTTGTTACCAAACTATATTTAGCCAATTTTCATCTTTATTTGCAGATTTCCAGGCACACTCAAATAATTCCTTGTAAACAACATACTCTTTAATCATAGCAATATGATAATTTCTTGGGTGACATCATTTTAGCAGAGCACAGAAGATACATTAGCAAAGAGAGAAGCTAGGGATTGGATTGGATTGGATTATTGTAATTTGGCACGAAACCTGCCGAGGGAAGCTAGGGAAAGGAATGGAACGGAAGGATAACACAGAATAATGATGTAGTTAGCTTGCCAGAGGTTTTGTACCAAAGTAATACAATTCTAGAAACAAGCTGTGATTGGTTAATATTAGCTTTAGTTGCATTTTTCCAGTAGCATTACATAAAGTAGAAAAATCTCGAATTTGGGAGAACGGATGAATTTAGGGCGGAGAGCACCAAATCTAGAATGTTAATTTTGAGGTCGCCAATGATTTTTTTAAAGCAGCTATTGTATTTTGTTATATCTTACATACACACACACACACACATATATATATATATAGAAAATGCTGTATTTACCAAGAAGTGCTAAAGATTTTATATCTTTCTTCTAAGAAAGACAGATTTTACATCGCATTCAAATACAAGAAAATGCATTAAATCAAACTACATATCAATGAGAGTATTTGGTGGTGCAAATTGAAAAGTTGCAAGTAAAGGAAAAGTACAAGCTTTGACAGCTGGTTCAGTGGTTTCAGAATACTGTTTGTAATAACGTAAGGATTTATGTACTGTTGGGCAAAGAAATGACGTCAGTTAAGTGGTAAAAAAAATACTACAATTATTGACTGTAACAGTTATATAAGCTATATGTATTCTCTACATCTAATCCAACAATGAAATAAGTAAATATGTGGCTTGAAGTTAAAAATGAGGTAACATACTCCAGTTGAGGGTTGATGAAACTTTAAAACAGGGTCAATGATAATCAAAGGGTTGATAGCCAAATAAGCATGGGCTATTCATCATCATAATCTATTTATTACAAAAAGTTATTACGAAAACTGATATCTTATATAAAGCTATATCATGCAGTAAGGAAGAAAGCACATAAAATAAATATATGGAGAAAAAACACAAAAGTTATTTAAAATACTTGAAAAATCATTAAAGTATTTTTTAAATAGATACATTTTTTATGCAATAAATGCAATATAAAAAAGGAAAGAGCGGGAACACACACACACACACACAAACAAAAAAAAAAAAAAAAAAAAAAAAAAAAAAAAAAAAAACAAAGAACGTAAACTTCCTCAGATATAATGTTGTAAATGAGCCATTTGCAAAATTTAAGATTTTAATCTTCACTTCCAACACATTGAAAATTTAAATATGCCAGCATGGATCATAAAACTATGATGCATTTATCTTGATGTTTTGATGTAAAAAATAACTGCAATGAAGAATGTTCATAGTTCAAGCATAGATCTAAATCTAAATACATGAGTATTCTAAATACTGGAATGTAGAAGTTAACTGGAAAAAATATATTCTGAAACAAAAGTTCTTTCAAAACCAACATTATTGACTTTTACCGCTTCTTATGTAATAGGAGCAGGCTTTAATCAGCTAAAAATTTACAGTGGAATACAAGAATGGAGGTTGATTATTTTTGAACAAGGTGATATAAAATTAAGTAAAGCAATTTTGTGCAACATATTTGAAAAATTGCATCAGCACATCATGTATAGCCATCAAGCCACATGTTAATTAAAATCAAGCTTTTTTTTTTTTTTTTTTAATTAGTTTGTGATTTTGTTTCTGAAAGTTTGTCTATATTTTCAAAATTAAAAATAAAATATAAATACAATGAACCATTTTTTTTTCAAATTTTTTTTCATATTCTTAATTGTTATTTTTAATTTATTTATGCACAATCATTTGGATTATGACCATGTACTTTGCTGCATATAACAGGAAAAAAAATGTAAGGCGGATCGATGAAGAAAACTATTCTTTTAAAGGGAGGACAATTTAAGAAAAAGGCTGAGAATCTCTGCTCTAGGCCACGCATTTAAACACACACAAAATAAAATGTTTGCTTGCAAAATAAAAAAGACAGGAAGGAGCTTTCGCAGATGGCCTGTCAGCTTCATCAGCCGGAACTAGGATGGATGACTTCATCAGGTTTGTCTTTTTTTTTATTTCTGCATGGTTGCTGTACTTAGAATACACATCCAGATGTATGAAAGATTGATGGGAAGGTCTCTCATAACACAGGCTTGATGGTTCTCTAATTTTTAATGCCAGGGTTTGGCAATGATTTTGGCTTTGTCCCATCAATTGTTGTGTGTAGATGATGGGAATAGTTTTTCACCAAAGATGTGCTAATTTTGATTAACTGATTGGCAAAGAGCTTAAATATAGCTTTTTTTAAAGATGAGTATGGTGTTGGTGTATTTAATTATGGCAAAGCACACGAGGGCTATCTGCCTAAGGGGAGGGATGCCTTCGTGGAGGACTTTCTAAGGGAAACTGGCTCATATACACGTTACACATGGGAAAAACCACGAAAACGCCCATGCAGCCAGCCCATTCGCGGGATTCGAACCTTGGACCGAACTACCAGTGTTCAGCGACTTTACCGCTCGGCCGCTGGTGGGCTTAAAGATGAGTAAGTGGGCTTGAAAAAATTGTACCTAAAGGTAAAAAACAAAGCCTATACATGCCTCCACAATTTACAATATTTGGCAGGTTATGGTGAGAAACTTTTTAAACATGGTAAGGTAATTTAAGGTACTTTTTAAATATGAGTAAGTGGGCTTTGAAAAATTCGTACCTAAAGGAGAAAAACAAAGACAGCACGTGCCTCAACAATTTAGGATATTTGGAGGTGATCGTGAGAAACTGGTGAATTCTTTTTCTCTCAAGTTTCAAATAGAGACAAACACACTCACGGCCAAAATTGCCACTAAGTATGAGATGGATTCATGATTTATTCAGACCTAGATAAGCATATGAAAGATCACTGGTAAGCAAATGAAACAGACACTGGAAAAGTAGGTTAGGATCATTTTACTGTGAATCATACATTTCATTTTGTTGATACAGCAATGGCTGCTCATACAGAAAACATTTAACAACTGTTCACTGATTGGCAGAACAAAAATCAACGTGGCACAGTTCTCTATAATAATGTTCATCAGTTGAAAGTTCTTGGGATGGAAAAATACTTTTGATATCATTGTAAAAGCTCGTGGAACATGCCAGTCATAAAGTGTATGCGAAAAGTAAAGAGTGAATGTGGTAAAAGTTCTGATGCCAACTTGGTATTTAGAAAAAAAGGGCCAAAAATAATAACAAAGTACCTTTTTTTTTTTTTTTTTTTTTTTTTTTTTAACTTTTACAAAAATTAGGTGAAATGTAATTTGATTGCACAAATTTGTGATCAAATCACTGAGATATTTACCTAAGCAGAATTGTAGTGTGAAACAGCATTCTGTATCATAATATGCTCTTAGAAATTATTCCAAAGCAATTTCGAAATAAATAAATGAATAAAATGACCATTTGGCATGTTTTATGAGTTCACTGCAAATAAAAATGCATGAGGTAAAAGAACAAACGTGCACAAATGTCACAGATATTCAAAAAATTCTTAAGGAGTTTTAGCAGAAATTCTTTTTGTGAGACAGTAGTTTAACCACTTTTGAAAACAGCTGAATGCAAAAGAAAGAACAACACAAAATTAACATAAAATCATCATGAAAGGTCACATGCAACTAAAATAACAAATACTGAAACAAACATTAAATTTTTCATATGCCATTTTTCTGAAATGTTTATAATAATTACAAATTTTAAGTGGGAAAACTAATAACATTTGTGCTTTGTATATAAAAAAAGGGGGGGTTATATTACCAAACAAATCAATTTCCATATAACCTGTAAAACTACAAAAAATATAAACACAGAATGGTATTAATCGAAGATTCTTGCGAAGCTGTTAAAAAAAAAAACGGAAATGTGTGAGTATTCATAATATGAATACTTGCACACAAACTTTTTACATTAAAATAAATTTTAAAGCACAAAAGAAATTTTAAAGAGAGAAAAGTAAACCTTTAACAGTTTTATATGCATGCTTCTAAGTTTGATAATCAAAATAAAATGCTCACCTCGACTTCAGATAACGTTTGGGTCCATCTGTAATTTGGTAGATCACATCCATTTCCGGCATTAGGTTTTAATTTATTTTTATCTGCTTCATCCTCTTCTTCATCATCAGGCTATGGAAACACAGATTGCTTTTTAATTGTCATTATGCATTTACAAATGAAGTAAATCTAAAAAACTGAAGTTAATAAGATATGCAATCACAATAAATACAAATTTACAAATTTATACTTATCAACCAACTCCTGAATTTAAATTAAAACCAGGTCTATTGTATATTTTAGAGTTTAGAAACAAAAACAATAATCTGTCAAGGTTACTAATTTAATGCTAACATTTATAATTGTTACAGATTTGCCATATTTTATATGAAAGTATTATAATACTATAGGAATTCCATCTGCAATCACAGAATCATATGTACTCAAAATTTATAATTTAAAGTGTTTCAATGATGTAATACATGTAGTACCTTTAGACTAATAAAGTTACATTGGTGTTCTACGCATCACTCGATAATTAATAAATTTCAAAATTTGTTTAGCATTTTCAAATTTATTTTATTTTTACTATTGCATTTTAACATTATTACTTACATTACTACATGCAATTCATATTTTAACACTACATCTGCATATGAAAGGAACTGTCCAACAATAATTTTATCTTTCAGCTAGGCTTCCCTAACATAATACAAGAAAAATATGAAACAAAGTAAACTAAAGTTGAATACGTATTGGATGTAACTACATTTGTGACGGAAACAGTATATTTTTGTACTCCCTGAGTGTGAGAGGAGAACTTTGTTAGATATACATCAATACGCTTCAGATCCATTTTTGAAAATTTAAATTTAATGTATTCACAACAGAGAGAGAGAGAGAGAGATTTTCTTAACATATATATCATATTGAAGGTTAAAAATAAAAGAATAAATAATGGTACAACTCTGATATACGCCCTAATTTCACCAAATGTGATGATATGTGTTCTGCTCTGGTTTTCAGCGTGATTGCGTGTTGTATAGCAACCCTGTTGACGTTGAAATATCTTTCGCTGGAGCTCGTTGGTTCACGAAGATAGGGGGGAAAGATAAAATGGTGGAAGTTGTTGAATTGAAGTTCAGCAAAAGGAAATATCATCATGGCCATCCTGTTGAGGGGCAGTGGGTATTTGGAGGTGTGGAAAGAGGGTCTGGAAGATTATTTTTAGTGGCTGTGCATGGTAGAAGTAGGGATTTGTGATTTTACTTATTTGTGAACCATAGCATGAATTTCCTGGATAGTGTGCGTGGCTGTCATATAAATACGATAGTGATTACGTGGCGGCATGTTAAAGGCGGTATGAAGTTGGTATTTCTGCTGTTTGAAAAAGCATTAATTCAGGGTAAGTGCATTTTATTTTATTCTTGTTCTTATTTTTTAGAATGTTTTATTCATTGTTTAAGTATGGATTTCTGTCTTATTTTGTTGATTAGTGCATAGCGTCTAGACTGTGCAATTCATAGATGTTTTTTGAATTTGAAATAAAACGTTGTATACATGGTAGTCTTTGAAATTTATTGTTGTTAAGTTAATTTATTAAAGCGAGGTGTGCGTAGTTCGCAGATTCGTTTGTTGCCTAGATTGTGCAATTCAAAGATTTTTTTTTAAGTTAAAATAGGATGCTGTGTACATAGTATTCTTTGAAATTTATTGTTATGTTAATTTATTAAAGTGAGGTGTGAGCAGTTCATAGATTCGTTCGTTACCTAGATTGTGCCTCGTAGTTGTTTTTTTTTTTTTTTTTTTTTTTTTTTTTTTTTTTTTTTTTTTTTTTTTTTTTAAGTTAAAACATATCGCTGTGTACATGGACACATGGATGTCACATATTTTTGGTTAGAAACTTTACGTTTTTGCTACCTAAATTTTTTGTTTTTGTTTCGGATTTTTAGCTTAAATTATGTGTTCAAAAGGTCGTTTTTGCATATGCGAAAACCGCGTTCTTGGATACATTTTAGGCTTAAAGTTCGAAATGAAGACAAAAAATTTAGATAGTAACATGGCAGCATGGAGTTTCTCGCCAAAAATGTTTGGCGAGGAATTTGGCGACTTGAGGGTGCATATCAGAGTAGTTCCATAATAATAATACTAAAAACCTCTATATTCTAGAGGTAAATAGAGCAGTCTTAGATTAATTTTGTCAACTGGAGTCTGTGACAAATAACCAGACATAAAGATGGCTCTCTCTCCTTTTTTTTAACATCTAAATTTACTATGCAATTTCTGCTTTCATGGAAATCTCGATTTGCATTACTACTTAGAGTGATACACAAAATCTCAATCATATGCAATGTTATATTTAAAATATTGTTATAAATTTTGTATTTTGATAGCTAATGTTAGCAGAATTATAATTAAAATTATTTTATTTCCCCATGCAATGCAGCATGAGAGGAATTTTAAAAGAAAGCTATGCCAGAAAAGTAAAAATACAAGAGCACTTGCATTTAACATTGAATAAATGTTTATCTCGGTAATTTATATTTAATTTGAATAAATGTAATCGACTACTAGATTAGCTGTAACTGTAATTCTACCCTTTTGCTTTCCAGAAATCTCAAGAAGCAGAAATTACTAGCAATTTCTCGCGCCCGATTTATAGCTAAAACATGCCAGACAGAGAACATCTCAGTTCCATTGTTTAGTTAGTTGCTGTTGTTATTGTTGTGAATTCATGGTGAGATTGGATTAGCTTTCTCTTCAAATGTGTTGAACTGCGTTCTATTTAAAGTATTTGCATTCTACGGATTATTACTGCATGATTTTGTGAACACTTGTACGAATATCTCTGAGGAAAATTCAAACGTTTTGTTATATTTCTTGTTATAAGAATAAATTTTATTAACTTTTTATCAGACTTGTGTATTTAATCTATTATGAACCCATATGCATGCAACAATATTAACTCTTACTTGCCCTCCTCAAACAATTTTCCCAGTTAAGTTTTACATGATTTTCCCCGATAACAACTGTATAGATGGGAATCCCTAGTTGCATGGATTTATATTTATAAAATATTTAAATACAGAAGTTCTGCTATAAAAGTGGTATGCAACTGCAGAAATTATTCATTCATCACTGAATATCCATACTGTTTCAAAATGATAAGAAAATTATTTAGAACAGTTGATGCTCATTATAATGAGCCCTCACATCTTACATGAAAAAGAAAAGATGTAATAAGGAGTGCTCCCTTAAGCAAAAGTACTTTAATATATGTTTATGTTACTAAGCATCCAATAATACATAAGTTGCATAATTTTAAAACAGTAAGAGTTTTCACAAAATATACAGCTAAAATCTACACACATTTAATATCGAAAAAGTATATATGGTTCTTCCTTATTATAGCGGCCCCCAAAATTGAATTGCTAATCAACCAAGATGTAACATGTAGTAAGGAATAAGAACACATGGCAAGATATCTCAGTTTATTAGCGATTCAATCTTGGGGGCTACTATAATAAGGAAGTATCCACATGTTAGTTTTTATAACTGGAAAAGCCCATAGAAAGACAAATAAACCTTTTTAATATCATCGGGACTTTCCTTTTCACCATTTTCAGTAGCTGCTAATTCCTTCTGCTTGGCTTTCTGTTAAATAAAATTTCATTTATTACTTTGCTGAATGCATTATATCATAAAATGAAGAAACATATTTTAATATTAAAAAATAATAATTTAATTTTCATGCAACTAAAATAGGAATTTATTTAAAATGACAATTTTTCTATAATAATAATAATGCCTACTGTTTTGGTAATAGCAATAATTTTATTCTCTAATGATGAAATAAACTATAATGGAATTTGCTACTTCTCTGTTAAAACAGCCACCAGAAGTGCTTTAGCAATCTAGGAATATTTAAAATTAATTTAACAAAACTAGAGGAACACGACGACAACCAACCAAAAAAAAAAAAAAAGGTTTTAAAAAAATGTACTCGGAAGGGGGTGAAATAACATTTATTTATCTTTGTGGATGCAATAGTCTGGCACCTGCTACTGTCATAGAATCAAATATTGGTACTCTTCTGATTTTCATCAGTATTTAATTCATCCATTGCACCACCTGATAAAAATTTATACTTTAGCTCAATAGTATATGAAGCCCAAAGCAGTAAGAAAAGGAGTCCCAAAACAAATTATCACATAACCTCTTTTTGCCCTACAGTTTTTCACTTGCATCTCAAAATAAGTTATATCTCGCAATAAACTGGCAGCCATTTTAGCACTTCTGCTCAATATGCAGAATTCTACTCTCTTGAAAAGAAAGCAACAATTTCTTTTTCAGTTAATGATAAGTTAAACACATTTAACATTTTAAAGGGGGGAAATAATAATGAACATTGTTGCATTTAAATGTTTATCTCAGCTTTTTTGCCCGAGATGGCACTCGGCATCCACAGTTAGAAAAGTTTATATTTATTGAAAAGAAAAGAAAAAAAAGAACCAGTGCTTATGTTTATGTTGTGAAATAAATGAGTGAATGGCATAGCTGCCAGCCTATGTGAAAAACTGGGTATTTCTCAAAGGTTTTCATGCTGCACGGCAGCATCATTTTAAAAAACTAAAACTGATTAAAATTTGCTTTATAGCACGATTCAATTCATTCAACTGTTTATAATGATTCTGAAATAAAAATGTGTTAATAGTTATTTACATATTCTAAATTTTATGTTCTTTTCCTAATTTCATTTCGTAATTTTCTTACACTCTGATGACAAAATACTGAGTAGGCAAGGAAAGCTTTAATTTATCAAGGTACTTTTAAATACAGTAAAAATAAAATAAGTAGGTAATGCACTTCATCTTGTGGAGATAAACTTAGCAATATACCAAACATTTGTAAGATATGTACATTTTTAAGATACCTTTTCCCTCCTTACCACACACCATCATTGTGTAATTGGAAGCACATCATACTTGCAATTAGGAAGTCAAGTCTTCAAAACTTGGTGAAAGCAATGAACACTTTTTACATCTCTAGCCTCTAAAAAAATAATAAATAAATAAAAACCACTGTTCTATATGACACTAATTAATACGTGGTGGACGATAATTTGTAACTAGCAGGTTCGAAATGCGTCTTTGGGGAAGCACGTCTGACTAGCAGTATGAAAGCACAGATTTCGAATCCTAGTCAAAACACTGCATATTTTCCATGTTTCATGTTCCAAAATGAACATAATAATTATACATAATGATGTAAAACAAAAATAAGAATCTTCCATTAAGTTCTATAAATATCTACTATGGATTAAGAAAATTCACATCAAATAATATTTAATATGAACAATTTTGTTGAAGATTAGTAGGGATGAGGAAATGAAACTTATAATTTTATTGTTAAATATCACTTTCATTAGTAAAGGCTAAAAATTTTAAATCAAGATATTCAGCATCTACTGAAAAACCGGAATATGTACCGAGAAAAAGAAAAAGTTGGCAGCTATGGGAAGGCCATTTTGCTAACTGTTCTACAATGTTTTTGGACAATGAAAAAGGGGTAAGTACGCTCCATTGTATCAATTTATTACCATTTATTCTCTCAGCAGTAATGACTGATGATAGAATTAATGATACTGCAATGAAATTACTGCTTACTTTCTATTTCATGAAAAATAAAAAATTATCAATATGTTAGAAAAGATGCGTAATGAAAGAACAATATCACACAGTCTAAAGTAAGCATAAAAAAGAAAATATGTTGCACATTATAAATATAGAAAAATATCATTTCTTTTTCAACTGATTATAAATAAAAATAGTACAGTCAAAAGTCGTTAATTTGGACACCCATCATCAGGAATGATCTATAATCCGGACCTCAAAGCTACAAACTTTCTGCGTATGCGTCGTGTTTACGTATGCGCGCAAGACCTTTACGGCTGCGCATATGAGTGTGCGCATAATACGTTTATGCATGCGCGCTTAATGTATAACGGACAGTATAAGCTAAAATTATCTAATTATCTATTTCAGTTAATGTTGCAGATTGCGTTGTTCCTTAATCTTCAAATTAGATCCGGCTTATTATTTTTTGCAGACTGTTAGAGCAATTTTATAAAAGTGAGCTTGAACTTTCGATTATGTCAAATAGAAATTCCGATGCTGGAGCTCCCAAAGGATCTACAAAGTGAAAGTATGTTTCGATGTCCATCAAACAAAAAGTGGAATTGCTGAAAAAAAATAGATAAAGGCATATGCTTTGTTTCTTTAACCATTCCGAAATCTGTTTATCAATTTCACGCTGCCCTGCAGCGGGAGGGAACGCCACGGCGCGCAATGAATTGGAAGTTCATCTGTCAGCACTATCCTTATCTTCAGGGCAGATGTTTTAATTTTATTTGGCTTATAATTCCTTACTAAATGTAGTATTTCATCTTGATGTACTCAGTCTTTGATATGATTTAAATCAAATTCCTCATCATTATAATTTGCTTCCGATAGTGAAGAAAGTGACATAGAGGTTATTGAAAACGAAAAAATTTCGATTCTCGACACAGCAGTTATAGGACTTGAACAGCGGAACTTTGTAACTGAACAAGAAATTATGTCTGTTCATAGAATTAAAGAGAAAGTATTATCACATAAAACGAAGCAACTTAACTTACATTGAAAGAAATGTTTAATAAAGTAAAATAAATATTAAGCTCTTTTTTTTTTTTTTTTTTTTTTTTTTTTTTTGTAAATTTTGATACCCTTTAGATCATAATTGTTCTTCATTTCATAAATTACGGTTTCATATTTTTAATTTTATAATTTCTGCATTCCATTCTTACCAGATTTAAACTGATGATCTATAATCCAGAAAAATCGATAATTCATAAATTACGGTTTCATATTTTTAATTTTATAATTTCTGCATTCCATTCTTACCAGATTTAAACTGATGATCTATAATCCAGAAAAATCGATAATCCGGAATCACGGAAGTCCCAATGAGTCCGGATTAACGACTTTTGACTGTATAAACCTTTTAGAGGAGGAAAAATACTAAATCAGTAATATCGTATGGAAAACCTTGAAATCAAAAGTGCAAAAGATTAAACATGTTGCATGATAAAAACCCGCCAATTAAGTTTGCCAGTTATGCCAACTAATCTTACAATTGTGGCAACTAAGGTGGTGGCTTTAGCCAGGAAGTAACTGGAATTTTAGATGGGAAATACCAATCTTCATCTCAAAAAGGATCTACATTAAAAAAGAAATAAAGCTTATATTCAATATGATACTAGTCTATTCTTAACTGGATACAAGTGATGAACTGGCATAATTTATTATCAGCTTTCATGATGTTGATGATAACCTTGAATATGAAGATTTTCATATTAATGGAATATCAGAAAACATGCTTAATGAAGATACAACTGAAGTCTTAATTATGATGACAATGCTTTAATCACCAGTTAAAAGAATGGTGAATATTGATACTATGGCATTAAATCCAGAATGTATCGCCATTTCAGCTTCAAATTGCAATTTTATGTGTTGGTGGTCTTTCTACAAAATCCGACTGTGATACACTTTCTGTCTCTTTCATATCTGTGTATAAGTAAAGGAGTCGGGCATTTTAATCTAAACCACAAAATATGAAAGTGAAATAAAGACATACAGTTTCTGCATTATAAAAATATTACTCAACAACAGAACAACAATCATTCATTTTTCTAATGCTAAACCATACTACAGTGTCCAATCTCTTGTAGCATCACTACTCTCACACTTTGGAAATGTCATTTAAGTAAATGAAAAATTTTGGTATTTCCTGATTATCTGCACCCCCAATGAAAAGTCTCAAACTAGTTGGAACCAAAGTTTTCGCACGAGGCAATACACGAAAAGCATCAACCATTTTCAGAATGGTGGTGCACTAAGAATTCTATACAAGAGCAGTCAATTAATAAAATTAAAGAAATTAGAAACTGATAATAAAGCACATATCTTTTCCAAGAAATCCTCTTTTCTCATGCTGTTATTTTTCCATGTGCACAGAAATATTTTTTCACTTAGAAAAAATCAGAACTGCCGACGCTTGCTATCATGCAGCTTTGGCGTTGCAGACCAGCCAAAACAGAGATGTGTTATGTGCATAACTCAGCTACCACATAAATACTTTTTAGTGACATTGCAAGTTGCCACATAACTATTTTTGTGACCTGCTGCTTTGCTTCGCTACCTTCTTGCATATTTCAATAGGGGATAATCACACAGCAATTACAGGGATTTGAACTAGGTCATGCTGCCAGTGTCTACTGGTTTTATCCACTTGCCCAGAATCAAATTTCACTGTCCAAAATAAGCATGTGGGAATGACAAGACTAGAAGTGTTAAAGCATTTTGCTGCACATCATTTTCATTTGATAAATATGCAGAAAATTTAGTATTTTTATTTGTTGTTCTACTTTCATAAGCCATGACGAACTAAAAGGGTTGATATTTCAGCAGATACAGAGGCATGATTTAAATTTTCTGTTACCTGGGCACCAGTTGCCAAATGTGAAAGCTTGTTTACATTGTGCCATGAATAGCTGACCAATGTTTAACACTCATGATATTGAATTCATACAGTTTTATAGTTTTTTTAAACAAAAACAAATCTATGTGTCAAAAAAAAATCACAGAATTCGACCATTACATACAGCTTTGAAATTATTCTTAAGGCAATATATATATAAATTCAGAACCGTAGCTGGAATAAAGACATGGAGTTTTCAGCGCCCGGGGAAAAGTGAAGATTTTGCAACCCATTCTGTTTGCCAAAAAGGAAATTATTTCATTCTAAATTTTGAAATATTAATTTGGCACTCCTCTGATTCTCTGCCTAGAGGCAGATGCCTCCCTTGCCTACACCACTGTATATATTATCTTATATGATGCAGTACTGTTATTACAAGTTAATTTTTTTTCATTTTTTATTGCTAGCATTGTTACCACTGTTTGATTTTGTGCCAATGTTTATGTACAGCACTTACTGGCATCCTGTTAACAGAAAAGTATTGACATGACCATATAACCATTTCAAATTATGTAATAATTTCAAATTATGTAATAATTTGAAGCAATACAATAAAAATACAATATTTTAAAACAAATCACCAAAAACATTTATATTAAAAAACCTCATCCATTTCTTTTTTAAGCTTTTCTGCTTCTTCATCGGTGAGTTCTGTGACCCTATTGTCATTGTCTAATTCCATCTGTTGTTCTTTTTGTTTACGAGCTATACGCTCTTTTCTTTTCCTTTCAGCTTCTTCCTTTTCTTGTTCTTTTTTCTTCCTCTCCTCAAGAGCCATACATTCATATTTTTGAAATTTTTCTAACAACAACTGTTAAAAATAATGAAAATCATTTACATTATGAAAACATAAATTCAAATGTTTAAGACTACAAAATTTTAAGCAATTAAGAAGTTTAAAAATGTAGCATAAATATCAGACCTTAAAACTCCAAAATTATGAACATTAACAAAATGTATGCAAAACAATAAAAGTATAGTAGTGTTGTAAATGCATCACTTTATGAATAAAAAAATATTGTAATTACACTTACAGTAAACCATGCTTTACAATTTAGGAAAAGAAGAACAACAATTGCAGTGGCAGTACAATTGCTAGTTGGAAATTGTGACCATCTATGATTGAGAGTTGCTAGGCAGAAGAACAAATCTAAATACAAGCTCTAGATTTATAATACAGTACTTTATTCAGGTAAACTTATGTTTGAACAGTTGCCTATTTCATTTACTAAGTAATAGAAATTAATTAAACTGATGGTTTATATTCAAACTGCAATATATGTAGTTCAGTCTAGCCTTCCTTTTTCATTATGAGAATTACATAGTTTCTTGCTCCTTGCATTTTACATAGCTTTCAATATGGGAATTGCATAGCTTTTATTAACCCCCTAACTGCCAATGAAATCCCTCTTATGATTCACTTACTAGTGCCACCATATCAAACAAAAGTATATAGTGACAGTATGTTTGGAAAAAGTAGATGCACAGTTTACAGTTAAAAAAGGTGTCTATTGTTACAGTGAAAATATCGAAAATACAAAAATACATAAAATTAAATAAATAAGTGGCAGTACTTAGCTATTATACAAAGTCTGAAATCTGGACTCGTTGGGAATTCGGCGATTCCAGATACTAGATCACTAGTTTAAATCTAGTAAGATGGCATGTAGAAATTATTAAATTAAAAATATGAAATTGTAATTTATGAAATAATGAAGTATTTATCATCTAAAGGGTGTCAAAATTACAAAAAAAAAGCTTAATATTTGTTTACCTTATTAAACATTTCTTTCAATGTTAGTTGTTTAAGTTGCTTCTTTTTTGTGCTAATACTTTCTCTTTAATTCTGTAGACAGACATAATCTCTTGTTTGGTTACATTGTTGAAGTCCTGTAACTATTGTTTCGAGAATTCTGACTAACTTATCAATTGAAAGTTTTTCGTTTTCAGTAACTTCTCTATCACAATTCTTCACTATTGGTATTGGTATTTTCTGGATCTAGAACCATACTACACATTTCACCCTTCATTAATTGTTATCAGTTCATTCAGTTTTCATCACTATGAAAAACATCTTTTTATATCATCTTCATTTATTAATGCTTCTCCACATTTCTTTACAAAACCCGTTATTTGGAAAATTTCACCTTTGTTTTGCGATATCCGAAAACCTTTCAAATTAGCAGCTATCATCATCAAATTTAGCTCTCCTTCACTCTTTAGTTATTATGATCAGCTATTATATTGTTAGCTCATGATGCATATTTGGTTATGCATCATGAGCTTGGCGACTAATGACAAATTGTTCCATTAAATTTCATCTTGCTTCTATCACGCACTGAGACAATTAAGTCTGAAATGTATTAGTTTAGTTATTTATTATACTTATGTCTATTTCTTGCACATGCTTAAGCCTTATTGGAGTCCTGAATAAATACATTCCCACATATACTTATTGAAGGCCAGCATTAGATATCTTACCACCTGATGCAGTCTTTGTGGGTCCTAAATTCTGCAGCCATTACGAGGCCTAGCGCTGGTTCTGGGTTTACATGAATAACAAATCAGTTATTCTTAATTCAAATAGCCCTAAATGTAATCTTTGGGTCTATGAGTATCATCAACAAAATCTACTTTTAGCATATGGAAAGAAATTTTTGGTAAATTTTTTCTCGTAAACATTTTTTAGAGCATTTAACTTAAATCTGTAATAATCGCCAAACAATAAAAACGCTCATCGTTAACATAAAAGGTTACCATACTCCTTTATTATTCAATTACTAACATTAAAAAAAAAAAAAAATTGTTTAGGAATCATGAGTCATTACTCAATTTGTCATGTTTTGATAAACATGCAGTGATGAAAGGAAAGTATAATAAATAATGATTTGCCAGGTTGGCATCAGATCAACGATGTATCTACGTGGAATGTTTTGGTTCGAGATGTGTGCCAAAGCACATACACAGCAGCGGAGCCAAATTACTGATGGTACAAATTTATGCTAAAATAATTGTTTCTTTAATAGCAAGGTATTTTATTTAGTGTCAAAGTGAAATTAAGAATCGGGACTCTCCAGATGTTTTATTATGCACGAAGGATGGAATCAAATGCACATGCGTAAAACCTACGAAAAAAATTTTTTGGTGGTTTCAAGGTCCAGATTTTAGATCAGTCCAGATAACGGACATCCAGATTTAGGACTTTGTGCTGTATAATATATTCTGTAACATGGTTGCACACATAATCCATCACATTCAGCTCACTGATAGAGGGATTCATGACAAATTTTTTTCTTGGAGCACACTATGCCATTCCCTTGCTATATTTTTCTTTGAAGAAGCTGATGGTACCAAGCCTGGAAAATGTCAGGCTGTAAGCTGCAAACGACTGTCACATTGTAATGTTTCTTCCTTTGGCAGGTTGTAGAACATTAATATCAAATTTTGGTAAAATGAAATTCATAACTGTCAATGCCTGGGAGTTACTTCTTTGGTAAAATAAAATGGTTACTTGTGTTACTTGTGTGTTATTCCAACCACGTTAGAAGACGTTTCGAAATTTTTAAAATGGGCCAAATTCTGGTAAACATGCATGTAACCACACTTCAGGCAATCATGATGATAAAAATCCTTCAGTGAAGCAACATTGAAACTTTTGTACAGGTTTTTTTCCATTATACTCCAAGTTCAACAATTTTGATAAACAGTTTATAATATTTTCTGTCTTAATTTTAAAATATGTGTCAGTGGAATTTGCCAGCAATAAAAGAAACTGTGGTAAAATTTCTGTATGAACAGAGAAATTTTCTGCAAAATTTTAAATGGAACGGCCAGGAGATGCATTGTAAAGAATTTTTTTTAAAGTAAAAGCCACTAAAAAGGCAGAAATTGCTGAAAGTCTTTCAGATGGAACAGCTGCTCATTCTGTGGTTTCCTGCAGAGAGCTGGTATTGCCAAGATTTCCAGGATGCCTAGTCTCTGACTTTTTTTTTTTTTTTTTTCTTTGAAAAAATATATCGCTGTGTACTTGGAGAGAAGAATAGCACAAAATAACTACAGAAATGATGGATGAAGAATGTGATTTACTATTTAATGAATCATGCAAGGTTTATTTAATAATTAACATTTTTATCTTAAACTCCTAAAGTGTGTTTTCTTTTTGTATGCTGATAATGCCTGCCAATATACGATAAATATAAAATATTTTGGGAATCTCTCTAAAAAACTTTGCGAAAAAAAGTAACTTGCACCTGATAAGTAACTTACACTGGTGTGCAAAAATTAAGGACGAGACGGTTTTTTTATTATAACTTTGTACAAAAGCTTTCCAAATCAACACATTTAATACCATAAGATCCCCAATACATAAGGACATGAGTAATGTAAGCAACACTTACTAAAAGAGAAATCAGAGGGATAAAAAGAAGCTTTATTGAAAAAGTAGCATGGAGCGCAATGCGACTGAAGGTCGAAACATCCCTGTGATGGATGTCCAGCAAGAAACATTCGGTCTTTAATAGGGGATTTGATCTCCCCTGACTGCTAGGCAGGTTTCACAGCGTCTGCCCATGCTGAGAATGAGGGTGTCAATGAGTTGTTGAGGCATTCTTGCCCATTCGTCTTGCAGCGCCAATCAAAGCTCCGGAATCGTTACTGGTGGTAAGCGTCTGCCTAGAAAATCCCATACATGCTCGATGGGATTGAGATCTGGAGATCGTGCCGGCCAATCCATACGTTCAATATCCTCACTCTCTAAGAGCTGTTCGACAGCTACTGTGCGATGATATGGTGAATTGTCATCCATGAAAAGAAACTGCGGACTCATAGCGCCTCTAAAAAGACGCACATATGGAAAAAGAATCTCGTTACAATAACGGGTCCCGTTGATTGAACCTGCGTCGAAGATGTGAAGGTCTGTACAACTACCAAGCATGATGCCTTCCCAAACGAGAACCCCGCCACCTCCATACCTGTCCCTTTCAATGATGTTCGAGGGATGATTGCATCTTCCCCGCTCTCTCCAGAGGAGTATGCGATGAGAATCGCTACTCAGACTGAATCTGTTCTCATCTGTAAAGAGTACACGTCCCCATTCATTGTCTCTCCAATTCCGGTGTTCCCGGCACCACAGAGAACGCCTTCTCCGATGGGCAGGCGTTAGAGGTACACACCGAACAGGGCATCATGCAAACAGACCACCACCGTGCAGTCTTCTGGCCACAGTAAAACGCGATATCGGTCATCCAGTCACCTGTGTCGTGTGTCTAGCGATTTCTCCCGCTGTCTGCCGCCTGTTTCTTCTGGCCTGTAAGGCAATATACCGGTCATCTGCGGGTGTGGTTCCTCGTGGATGACCACTACTAAACCCCCGGATAGCTGTTCCTGTAGTCTGAAATTGTCTCCAAAGTCGTGAAACGATGCTGTGAGCAATTCCGAACTCTGCAGCCACATTTGTCACACGGCGGCCTTCCTCCAACTTCCCAATGATTCGACCTCGGGTAAAAGCATCCAGATGTCGTCTAACAGATTGATTATTTGCCATTTCTCACATATCTGCATCTGGTATATGATAGGGTATGTGCTCACAGTTGCAGTATCTATGATTATCAAAAACAAAAATACTATTTAATCGGCTAGGGTAAGACCTGGTCTAGCTAAGGTGATCCTTGAACAGGTTGAAGTAGGGAACTATCAGAAGAAAAGTGATAAAAAAAAATTTGAATTTTTATTTACGTACTATATATATTTAACTCACTGCATTTGTATTCTATCAATAAACAATGTAATAAAAACAACAGTAGAATAAATTTATAAGAATGAATTAATAATTTTCCTCTTTATTTTTTATAGGAAAAGTTTGGTGCAAATCGAAAGATCGCGAAGAGATTAATGATGTATATGTACCCCTTGGATTCTGTCTGAAAAAAATTACCAAGTGGTATTGGTTGTTTGTGATATCTGGAAGCCCACTGCATGACAGAGGTTTTTCGGTAACCCTAATGTTGATAATATTGGCGAAGGTACCCTTCAGGATAACTGTGATTTTTTTCAGTTTTTGTCACGAAACATTTTTGGCTATTTTTTGTAATAGTAATCCTTTGGTATGGACCCGGGTTTGGTTTTCAGTTGCTGTGTTTGCTTAGATGTGCGTGGTATGGTTTTGGACTTTGAACTCACTACAGTACAAAGTACGAAATCGGGACGTCCATTATCTGGAATGATCTAAAATCCAAACCTCAAAACCAACAATAACGTTTTTCTCCTAGGTTTTACACATGCACATTTGATTCACCACTCTGTGCATAATAAAACATCTGGAGAGTACACATTCTTTATTTCACTTGGACACTAACTAAAATACCTTGTTATCGAAGAAACAAACATTTTAGTATAAATTTGTATGATCAGTAATTTGGCTCCATTGCTGCGTATCTGCTTTTTAGCACACATCTCGCACTAAAATATTCCACATAGATACATCCTTAATCTGATGTTAGTAACTGAATAATAAAGGAGTATGGTAACCTTTCATGTTGACATTACGCTCGGCAATAATTACAGATTTAAGTTAAATACACTGAAAAATGTTGACGGGGAAAAATTTACCATAAATTGCTTTCCATATGCTAAAAATAGATTTTGCTGATGATGCTCATAGACCCAAAGATTACATTTAGGGCTATTTGAATTAAGAATAACCGATTTGTTATTCACATAACTCAGAACCGGCCACCAGGGCTTGTACGGCCACATGCAATCACAGAATTTAGGACCCACAGAGACTGTTTCAGGCGGTAAGATATCTAGCACCGGCCCTCAATAAGGTATATATAGAAAATTATTTATTTAGAACTCTAATAAGCCTTCATGTGCAAAAAATAGACATAAATATAATAAATAACTAAATTAATACAATTCAGGCTTAATTGTCTCAGTGTGCGATAGAAGCAACATAAAATTTAACGGAACATGCTGTCGTTAGTCGCCTAGTTCATGATGCATATCCAAATATGTATAGTTAAGGATAGCTAAATTTGATGATAATAGCCGCTAATTTTAAAGGTTTTCAGATATCGCAAAACAAAGGTGAAATTTTAATTTAAAATTAAGCAATTGACAGATTTTGTAAAGAAATGTGGAGAAGCGGTAATAAGTGAAGATGACATAAAAGAAATTTTTCTTTTCAATCATCAATAAATTAATAAATGGAAATGTCTCTTATGGTTCTAGATCCAGAAAATACCAATATCAATAGTGAAGAAAGTGATAGAAAAGATACTGAAAACGAGAAAATTTCGATTGACAAGTTAATCAGAATTCTCGAAACAGCAGTTACAGGACTTTAACAATGTATCTGTCTACAGAAAGTATTAACACAAAAAAACGAAGCAACTTAAACAACTTACAGTAAAAGAAATGTTTAATAAGGTAAACAAATAAATATTAAGCTTTTGTTTTGTAAATTTTGATACCCTTTAGATCATAAATACTTCATTATTTCATAAATCATGATTGCATATTTTTAATTTTATAATTTCTACATGCCGTCTTACTAGATTTAAACTTGTGGTCTTATATTCAGGAAAATCCCAAATCTGGAATCGCCAAACTGCTTGCCGCATTTTTAAGAATTCCACATACACGGTATCCATGTACACGTCGATCTATTTACCCTGCTACAGCAACCTGCTAGATTTTGTTTGGACACCATTTTGTTTTCACGAAGTAAAGGCATGTTTTTCTTTCCAACAATCTGCTAGCCGAATTACGCTTATGCTAGAACTTTTATGGAACAAAAGTGCTTAATCATGATGAAGATTAGGTGCGAAATTGGGAGAAAGTGCAGAATCGCAAACTGCTTGTCGCATTTTTTAAGAAATGCACATACACGGTATCCATGTACACGTCGACCTATTTTCACTTTAAAAAAATCCCAGAATTGCACAAAAATGGCATTGCACACACTCTTGACTTTATCCATGTACACTGCTAAAGTCCTAGCTAGTAACCTTTATCGCCTTACCAAAATGTCGCCAAACCCTGTTACCATATTCCAAAGATTAGCCAATAGTTTTAACTTTGTTTTAGCTTCTTGATTTTGTTTAAGTGAAAATAGATCGATGTGTACAAAGTTAAACCCATGCGCAATGCCTAGTTTGTACAATTCTCTGATTTTTTTTTTAAGTAATAAGCACGTAAGCAATTCAAGTTAAAATAGGTCAATGTCGCATGGAGACAGAGTTTGCACAAGTCTCTGACTTCTTGTTTTGGATTTGTGTAGCATACAGAAAGATTGGCACCGTCTTGAAATTGGTGCCTATTTTGGCGTCAAAAAAAGAGATGATTCGCCAAGAAGTACTGTAGAGAAAATTTTAACCAATTACTCTACTTAGCAATAAATTAATGCAATAGTTTTAGTAAAGTATTTCATACTTCTGGTTATTTTTTAATATGAAAAATCATAAGCTAGTCATAATTAAAGATCAATTTATTTATTAATAAATATTAGTATTTATAAAAGTATATATTTGGAATCAGAAATGAAAAATCTTAGTATAAGGCAGATCACCAATAATTATGCATTAATGATTTCTACATCTTGCTTAATAAATGATAACGTCTTCAGAATTTTTGTAAATGAATCCTCCATGAAAATGCAATCAATTTTAATTAGTAATGGCAGAAAATAATTGGAAATAATATTGAGCTTGTTCCCTGAATGTGATTCCCTTGATCTTTATCATTTTCTTCACAATGATAGCATCAAATATATCTCTGCAACATAAAACTTAACATGATAAAGGATCATTGTATTTTATGTTTCACATATAAAATACATTATGATTTCAAATTTACCCACACCGTTCTCCATAAGAGTTTTCTTTCGTTCACATGTATATTATTTTATTGCAATGAATACATGTTCTCCTAAGATAATGTAACTATTAACAATTATAAATAATAAGCCCACAAATATTACGTAACAATCATCTACCTCCGAAAATGCAAGTCAGAATTTCATGCAGATATGAAGATAACCGTATTATCATACTCACATTTCGGCATGCTCCTGGAACACCGCCAGTGAAGAAATCAGTCTTCCGAAGCAGAAAACCAAATATAGTCTCTAACAACTACAATAAAAGGAATTTTTAAGCAATTCATATATTTACCTATTTTATCAGGTGCAAAATACAGTGTACTGTTAATATTTCAAAGATAAGTACGTTGCATAAAAAGATACAAAATTATATAAATACTATCAGGATAATTTTTATCCTTTGTATTATGATAATGACAATAAAATACGAAAGGGAAAAAAAATCATACTAACCTCAGGAACACCACCTTCGTGTTGCTGAGCCATAGCTAATAATATACCATCGAACTTTTCCGATTCATTCATTTTTAGTTTTCAAAGAATAGCCGGAACACTAAAGAAATCACAGCAATTAGTTTACGTACAATTACTGCGAAAGAAGAAATTACAGAAACGCGAGACAGCACGAGAAACACAATTCCCGATGTACTGCCAAACTACGGGAAATCCGTTTTAAAAATTCTAACCCTCGCCCCTCCCCTCAAATTTAGAAGTTGACCAAGAAACTTTACGCTAAGCATTTAAACATTTAGCAGAATACAAAGCTTAATGGACAGTAAAATATTAACCTCTGTTTGACTTATAAGTTAATTGCTACATCTGAGATGTTATTAAGTCGCTACAATTTAATTGTAACCAATGAAATTCTTAGTTACTCAAATGCGTTCCAAGTTTCGTGCAACGAACGGCATTTCATTAAAAATTGATCTAATCAATTACTAATTAAGATCCTTGCACATATATAGAACAAGTTCAAACGTGATTTTGAAGTAATCTTAGACTTACTCTCTCATCTCTTGTTGAATCGAAAGGTGATTACGACTATCTATCTCGACATAATGAAAACTAAAACTCTTGACTTGACGCTAAGTTCTTCGATGTAATATTTTCTTACGCTTTTATGTGAGTCTCTCATTCGCGAATGTAGATATCTCAGCCAACTTAAACATAAAGTCAAAGAGAATAATGATTTTGTAACATTCTGCCCATTTTGCTCTTACAATACGATGGTAACAAACTGTCTTCTTGCGTATTGTGATTACTCCCATATGTTAGTTCCTTTTGTTAAACATTCATGTTATTTACACATTAACAGAAACTATAATGTTAGATATAAAAAAAATGGCGTAAGAATTCGATGAATACTAACTTATATAGCGATGAAGTACAGTAAAAAACATTTTTAATGCTGCAAACTGCACTTCATGCTCCGAAGGAAAACGTTAAGATGTATTGAAGATGGAAAGAACAATCAAATAAAAATACTGTTGCGTGCGTACGCGTTCGCAATAGCTTGAAGGCATACAGATCCGGTGATAGATTGATAAAATTTATTTCTATCAAAAGAAACATTTCGGAGATCTGGAACTTTTTACAGAAATCGCGGTCCAAACCTTCACAATATCACAGAGTACAATCAGTAGTCATCTCTTAATGGATTCTTGAAAAGTTTTCATCTCTTCTCTAAAATATGCTTGACCAGCTTTCGTTTCTCCTTAGCCCGCTTTCATCTCCTCTTTGATCTTTGAAGAGAAAGAATCCCTAGAAATCTTTGAAGGAGCCTTTCATGTTTTCATCGAATGCAGCGCAGTTGTCTAAGTTGCTTCTCCATCGCTCGTGTCACAGGCATTCAACTCCCTTCCTGACATTAAAACGTGTTGCGTACGTACTGGTTCGCAATAGATTAAATGCACACAGGTTCGGTGATAAGTTGGTAAAATTTATTTCTATCTAAAGAAATATTTCAGAGATCTTCAGAGATTTTCCACATAAGCAGTCGTACAACTCTTCACAATATCCCAGAGTAAAATCACTAATTGCACTATGAACTACTATGAATTAAACTACTATGAACGTTAAACGCAACGCAATGCAAAGGGCATCCAAAGAAAAAAGTTAACCTGGAGATATCTCAGTACTCGGATATCACGCCGAATTGACAACTAATAGCAGATATTCGGCCCTATATAGTTTTCACCCAGCCGACTTGATATTTCTTGTACTTTCTGCTTCTAGAAATTAGACAGACAGACAAAGTAGACAGATGTCTTGTTCTGCAAAGATGGGCGAAAAATCAAGCTTAGGTGCGAAGAAAAGATATATATAAAGTGGGGGCAATATCATATTTCAGAGGAGAGTAAAAAGGAACTTCATACATTTTGTAGGAGTTCGAAAGGCCAGGAAGAAAAGATATGACAAAATAAAATTTAAAATAAATGGCCCAAAAATAATAGAGGAAGAAAAATAAATAAATAATAAATAATAAAAGGGCCTATTGAAAGAAAAGAAGTAGAAACTAGAAAAAATATCCTAAAATACGATTGTGTCTGTAAGTGTAGTCAAAGGGAGAAGAAGCTGTGTTTATTTACAATAAATAGTGTCTCACAGGTGTGTGTAGTGAGTATGTTTGGTAAGGCTGAATAGATGTGAAGATGGAAAAAAAATAAATAAAAAGGATCGTAGAGAAGCTTCGTATCAAGGTATTTCGCATGGAACACAAGGCAATATGTATTCTTTCGTCATGAGACAAAACAGCAAAAGACCCGTAACATCAGACAAAAGTATATATTACTTTAACTAAATTAACTTTATAAGGTATTTCTCCCACCTTCTTGGCTTGCCTTCGTGGTGTAGTGGTTCTGCACGCAGTATCAATCCATTCAGTTTATTGTCATTATCAGTTCTGCACGCTGGGCCGGTTATTGTCGTATCAGTCCGGCAGCCACCGGCTTAGCGATTTGATTTATTCAAAACAGCCTCATCTTGAGCCTATCCTCATCTTGAACTATTTCTAAACAAGAACTTTCATCTAAACAGGAACTTATTCACCCTACTGTGAGAACAATATTTTATAAGTTTATTTATTTATTTATTTATTTTGGCATATAGCCTAGAAACGAACCGAAATAAAATCAGTTACGCTACCGAAATAAAATCAGTTACGCTACCTCTTGTCTTTCGAATTCGTCACAGCTATAGAGGTTATGTGTAAAAATGGTGGCAGCTAAGTGGATCTCTGGAGGAGGAAGAAGTAATTGAGACTTTTCCGTTTCCCACGCAGTGTCAGCTACAACAAAGGCTGTGTGGAAAACTTTGTGCAAAAACTGCCTGCAAAACGACAGAAGAAAATTTCCTCTTATGGGGACAATAGCAAGTTTCAGCAATCTCTGAATCCGATATAATCTTTGAATATGCGTTTGCGGAAAGAAGTACCTCCAACTGTGACACCTACTATGAAGCGATGCATCCTGAATAACGTTCAGTGAATAATTATTTCCCTGCTATGTGAAAAAAAAAAATGTGTTTTCTTTATGAAGTGATTTGCTGCATCCTGAATAGTTTTCAGTGAATAGTGATTTCCCTGCTAAGTGAAAAAAAGAAAAAAAAAAAAAAAGTGTGTTTTCTTTAGTGATATAAAAAAGGAAACAAATAGTGCCATAGTTACGATCAAGTGCTTCTGAATTGATTAGAAAGATGTGTGTCTGCTTGTCTGCAAAACGGGGTAGGTCAATTTGGGCATTAACCTTTGTAGAGGCAATATTTATTTTATTATGTGAAATTGCTGTGTCAGATTTATATGTTTAAATTGATGGGTCACTCATAACCCTGAATGGTTTTGAGAAACCGAATTTTAATGTCAAATTTCCAAAATTAAGAGGAATGTGTTATTTATAAATTAAGTTCTGTTTTGATTCTGCCGAAAAGTATTTTAGAAATTTGCTTATTGTACTAAGCATTATTACCTGTTTGAGCTGAAATATTTTATTTAAATTTGTAAGCTGAAATTGTTTGTTATAAATTGACTTTACTTCTTAACATTTTGCTAATCGCAAGTAGTCTGTGTAAAGCATATCATAAATTGCAATGTTATTTTGTGAAAGGTTTTGATAGTAGTTTATGTCAAGCATATCATGAATTGCAATATTATTTTGTGTTATTTAATTTTAAAGTGTGAATACTTTTGAAAAACTATTTTATTTTGTGTATGATCAGAAATTTTGGAATTTGAAATATGTCATATCTTGGGAAGGGTAGGAAACAGGATCTCATAAATCTGTCTGAAGAATTAGGTTTAGAGATTCCCGCCAGTGCAAAAATAAAGGATCTTAAAAACCTTATTGTCCAGAGTCCTCATTATGACGAAAAATTTGTCAAGGCAACGCTAGAGTCCATTATTGAAACTCGGATAGAACAGCGTAGGCTCGAAGAAGCCGAACAGCAGAGACTATAAAAGGAACGGGAGAGAGAGTTTGAATTGGAACGACTGAGGTTGACAAACGCCAACGATGTCAGAGAAAATTCCCAGAATAATATTCCTAGGTCAATAAGAGAATTGCAAAATTTAATGCAGAGATATAATCCTGAATCATTCGGATATTTCTCTTTATGAAGTGATGTTTGAGCGTCAAGGCTCGCAAAGCATACGTAGATGAAAGGAGACTGGGTGTCGCATTTGATGGCTTTATTGCCAATGGACATTATTTCTATTATTCTACGGGAATGGGAAGAGGAGCTCGATAACTATACTTACGTAAAGGAAATTCTTTTACAACGTTTCAAGTTGAGCCCAGAGGCTTTTCGTGTCAAATTTGTTCAGCACCAGCGGCGTGCAGGAACTCGATATAAAGATATTGCGTTCGAGCTGAGGAATTATCTGGATGAGTGGTTAAACAGAGCGGAAGTGCGAGATTTCGACTCGCTAAAAGACTTAATGTTGACAAATCAAATAAAACGTCGCGTAAACGGCGAAATTCGCGAACATTTCGTGGATGACTGGCCGAATATAATATCTTAATCTGAATTAGAAAATTAGATGAATATGAAGAAGTACGTGGGTCCATAAAAAAACCAACAGGTTTTGTTAAAAGCACTGAAATAGACACTAAGGAAAGGAAGAAGGGTGAACCGACAGATCGAATACGTCGCGGTGATGAGGGTACAGAAGGAAAGACTGCCGAGAAATGAAAGTCAAATGTGTTATAAAAACGGAGGGCACCTAGATGCTAAGAATGCAACTCAGAGAATCATCTCCGATACCAGTGCCCGCGATTAAAAGCTACGGCGGATCCATCCAAGTCGTAAATAATTTCGAAATTTTGGGTGCCTTAACATGTGGCTTGACCCATATATTATTACTGTGAAAGTCAACGATCGAAAGATTAAAATGTTTAGAGATACTGGATCCACCATTGACTTAATAGGAAGGGATCATGTAACATCGGAAATGTTGTTAAAGGAAACTGTCTTGATCAAGCAACCTTTGGACGAGCAACCGGTCCGGTTGCCTCTTGCACAAGTAGAACTCGATAGAGAGAATTTTGGGAATGTAATTACCAAAGCAGCAGTAATTAGCCAAGATCTCAATCAGGAATACTACTTATTGGGTAATCGAACAGCTCAGTTGATTTACCGTAATATAAAGATCTTTGGTAAAGATAATGCAG